AACTCCCTTTTTTTTTAATTGTTTTTTTTGTTTTTTTTTCCGGTATCGGGAATCGAACTCATGACCTTGCACTTGCCAGGCAAGCGCTGTGCCGCTGAGCTAAATCCCCAGCCCCCGAAAACTCCCTTTCTTAATGTAGCATGATTTCAATTTGTTTTTATTTGTTGTTGTTTTTTGGGGTTTTTTGTTTTTTGTTTTTGAGACAAGGTCTTACTTGCAGTCCAGGCTGGCCTTGAACTCACTATATGCGCTAGGCTGGCCTTGAACTAGCGGCGATCCTCCTGCCTCAGCGTCTTGAGTGCTGGGATTACAGGGGTGTACCACCACACCCAGCACAATTTGGAATTGGATGGGTTTTTAATTTTTTTCTTAGGAACCAGGCAGAGTGGCACATACCGGTAATCACAGCCACTCAAGAGGCCAAAGCAAGATAATTGCAAGTTGGAGGCCAGCCTGGGGAACTTAGCAAGACCCTGCCTCAAGAAATAAAAAGGGCTGGGGGCTGGGGATTTAGCTCAGCGGCAAAAGTGCCTGCCTGGCAAGCGCAAGGTCGTGAGTTCGGTTCCCGGTACTGGAGAAAAACAAAAAACAAACAAAAAAAAAGAAATAAAAAGGGCTGGCATGTAGCTCAGAGCACTTGCCTAGCATGTGTGAGGTCCTGGATTTGGTACCCAACAAGAATTTTTTCTTAAGATATCCCAAACCAGGGTTGAAGGTACACAAACTACGGGCTATGCACCAGGAGGACAGAAATGAGTAAGACGAGGCCTGCGCTGGGTGAACTCCCAATCTCCCTAGTGGAGTAACAGTTATATATCACGTTAGGTTATCACAGGATAATGAACAGGATGAATAAAATGCTGCAAGTGGAATGAGACACTTCAGAAGGAGACAGGGCTGGGCCTTGAGGGTGGACAGAAGTTTAAGAGTGGAGAAGAGCGGAAGACCATCGCCCAGGCCGTCGGGAAGAATGGCATGAGCAGTGACGCCAGATGCGAGTGTCCGCCTCTCCACCCAAAAGCAGGAGTGACGCAGGTGCACACCCTCCCCACTGCGGCCGAACGCTGCAGGCGAGCTTGTCAGCTAAAGCAGCCAGACAAAGAGATCAGCTGGAGACATTAAAGAATGAAACTATCTCTGTGTAAACACTGTAGATCGTATGCCTGAAAAATCAGAATCAAAGATAAAATAATGGAAACAATAAAACAATTTAGGAAATAATAAAATAACAGTAAGGTAGAAGCATAGAAAATTAACATGTAATAAATAAATGAATTGATGCTGGAAAAATAAAAGGGTGGTGGAGGGAAGGGGGAAAAGCAGAAATGTGTCATGTACATGTTGCGTTTTTTCCTGGCTATTCTTGTCTATTTTTAATGTAAACTTTAATATCAATTTATCCTGCTGGGCGTGGTGGTGCATACCTGTAATCCCAGCACTCGGGAGGCTGAGGCAGGAGGATTGTTGTGAGTTCGAGACCAGCCTGGGCTACAAAGTGAGCTCAAGGCCAGCCTGAACTGCATAGCAAGAACCTGTCTCAAAAAGACAAAAAAACAAACAAACAAAACTTACCCATGTACCAATTCCCCACAGTAAATGTAATCACTATGTACTGCAACCATGTACTCATAAAAGTAAAAAAGTGCAAAAAAATAATAGCTCCACAGACACAAATGATAGGCAGTCAGAACATAACGGTAGAGAAAACTGCATCTACATTAGCAACCGAAATTAATTGCATGGGAGTATAGTAATACGCCTCCAGGAGAACTTTAAAACACTCCTGGACACTAATAGACTTGAACCAATTGAAAGACATCACGACTCAACACAAAAATGTCAGTTTTACCTAAATTAACAGAAATTTATAGAAATCCCAATGGAAAAAAAACCTCAAAGAATGTTTTCATGGAGCTGGGTAAGTTTTGTTTGTTTGTTTGTTTGTCTTTTTGAGACAGGTTCTTGCTATGCAGTTCAGGCTGGCCTTGAGCTCACCTTGTAGCCCAGGTTGGTCTTGAACTCACAACAATCCTCCTGCCTCAGCCTCCTGAGTGCTGGGATTACAGGTGTGCACCACCATGCCCAGCAGGATAAGTTGATATTAAAGTTTACATTAAAAATAGACAAGAATAGCCAGGAAAAAACACAACAAACCCCACAAAGGGATGGACGCTAACTTTATAAGACACAAGAACATACTCAGAGGCCACCTAATGAAGTGTGGCCCTGACACATGCAGAGACCAGGGGGTTAGCAGAACAATCCAGAGATGGACTCCAGTAAGAAAGAAATTTAATACATGACAAAGAGAACACAGCAGATTGCTAGGGCAAAGGTATGCTTTATACGTGAACCTGAGTTCACTCCACAGCCATTGTAAAAAAATTAAATTAGATTTATACTTTACACCGGGCACACAATTCTGCATGTACATGTAAAAGGATGAAGTCAGCTGGGGGTGGTGGCACAAACCGGTGCCTTTCAGCTCCCTGCATGAGGCAGAAGCAGGAGGGTAACAAGTTTGAACCGAGCTCAGGCAATTTAGCAAGCTCTTGTCTCAAAATTTAAAAAATAAAAATAAAAAAGGGGCCTCAGTATGCACTTCAGTGCTAGAGCCTGGCATGCCCAAGATCTTGGGTTCAATCCCAGTACCTCAAATAAATAAATAAATTTAAAAACTCATAGGGGCTGGGGATTTAGCTCAGTGGCAAAGCGCCTGCCTGGCAAGCACAAGGTCGTGAGTTCGGTTCCCGGTACCGGAGAAAAACCAAAAAAAAAATAAATAAATAAAAAAATAAAATAAAATAAAAACTCATAAACATTTTAGAAGAAAAGGGGTGAATGCTTTAACTCTTATGTACAGAAAAGCTTTTTAATAATTAATTCAAAATCCTTAGACTTTTTGTTTTAGAAAGGTTTGGCTTTGTTTCGTTTTTGTTGTTGTTGTTGTGGTTTGAAGCAGGGTCTCACTATGTAGTTCAGGCTAGGTTTGAGCTCACTATGTAGCCCAGACTGGCCTCCAGCTCACAGCAAACCTTCTGCCTCAGCCTCTCCAGTGCTGAAATTGCAGGCTTGCACCACCACGCCTGGTTTAGTTTTTTAAATTTATAAGTTTGACTACTTAAAATGAAAAAAGCTTGCCTGGCAAATCTTAAAACACAACTGACAGAGATGGGGATATAGCTCAGTGGCATAAATGCCTGCCTGGCAAGCGCAAGGTTCTGAGTTCGATTCCTGGTACCAAAAAAAAAAACCAAAAATCAAAAAAACCCACAACTGACAAAAGCAGGAAAAATGTGTGTACTATATAGCAATGATAAATGACTAATAATCATAAATATACACTTACTTAAAAAAAAAAAACCAGTAGAGGGCCGGGGATATAGCTCAGCGGCAGTGTCTACCCAGCAAGCACAAGGTCCTGAGTTCAATACCTGGTTCTGTCCCAAAAAAAAAAAAAAAAAAAAAAAAAAAAAACACTACAAAAAAGGAAGCGATGTGAATAAACAATTCAGAAAAATTATAGAATGGGGTTTAAACACATAAAAAAAGATCCTCAACCTCACAATTTAGAAAAATGTTAATGCAAACCACATGTTTTGAAACACTGCTATTTCTCAACTACCAGTTTGGCAAAACCTCTGCTGAAGCTCAACTCTGCATGTTGCGGAGGGCAGTGCTGGACCTGGCGACGCTCCTCTGCTGCTGCAGCGCATGGGATTAAGGCGTGGGCTACAATGCCCAGTGGAAGTCTGCAATTATTTTAGAATAAAAAGTTAAAGGAGAAAAGTAAACAAACAGAGCGGCTGTGTTAGTCACTAGCATCGCACGGGCGATGGCTTTGGCCAGGCTCGCGGGCGCGCTCTCCAGGGCACAGGGCGGGCCCTGCTCGTGAGGCTGGGATTGCTCTTGGTAGCCGTTCTCCCGTCGGTTACCCAAGCACGCCACTGGGCCGGCTCCTTGAGAGGAAGCCCGCCTGCACTCCCGGCACAGGCACGCTCTGCCGGGCAGGCAGGTGGAAACGATGCGATACCCCAGGGGAAGTCCCTGTCAAGGAGTCCCTGCTCCAGCTGCCCAGAGAAGCAGAGGCGCTAAGAACGCGGCAGAGTAGCGTAGAACAGTAACGGTGCTGAGCACTGACCCGTGCCAGTAATATTCACCTGATTAATTTTCACAAGTCCGCTATGAAGTAGTTACTAACAAGGAAACTGAGGCAAATGTCAGTGACTTATCCAGCTAACAGCCAGGAAGCGACAAGAGGGAAGTACGAATCGAGGAATGTCAGCTCCGCAGGCCCACGCACGGCTGCAGGTCTCCGTCTCAGGCCGCTGTCCTCGGCCGTAGGGAGAGGCGGGCTGGGGGAGCGGGGAGGCGACGAAGGCCCACAGTGGCCCAGGGTGACAAGGCAAGGGCTGTCAACATCCCCCAGGACGGAGTTTCAGCTTAGCATGAGGTGAAGGCAAAAAGCAAGGCAAATACTTCCCTTGAAAACTAGAGCCTCCTTTTTAGAATTCAAGGCTATAGTGGAACGTTAGGAACAAAGAGATCGGCGGTGGTGCTCGCGAGCCTACAATTCCGTGTCACTTTCCCCAGTGAGGACAAAACCTTAGGGAATTTCAGGGACCTGAAGCAGCAGGAAAAAGATTTCTTCTTGCTGCCTGTGAAAAAGCAAGCACACTCTGTGTGTGGCCAAGGGAATTACTTATGTGACCTTAGCATACTACATGTATGCAGAGATAGTCCTAACTTAATGGTCGCAATTCATTTTTGAGACAAGTGATCCCAATCTCTACATTCTGCAGTGATATTCTATACCTCAGACTTCTCTCCCTCCGAGACCAGCTTTCCCTCCCCTAGAAAACGTAGGGACGGGGCTGGGGTGCCGCTCAGTGGGAGGGAATGTGCTGCGCATGCGCGAGGCTGGCGGGCCGCAGGCCGGTGGCGGTCGCTGGTGAGGACGCTAACGGAGCCAGGGTTGCACCTCAGCGTTTCTCTCTTACCTTCATGGGGGAAGAAGAGTTCGGCTCGTCGTCCGTGTCACCAACACGGCTTCTGGGCACCTCACAGACGTCGTCCAGGTCGGCCCTCTTTGTCTGGAGGTGGCCATGGTCTCTCACCGCCGCGTCCTTCGTGGGAGAACCCCGAGGACAGAGCCTTTTGGGAACTGTTTTTCTCGAGATACACTCGGGGGCCTGAGGAGCTCCCCTCTTGCCAGCCTGTGACTCTGACGGTCGCCAATCTGACCTGAAGCATTAACAGGGGCGAAACGAACATGCTGCTTACTTTGAAATATATTTCTTGTATATAACTAACAACAACATGGAATGACAATAAGAGTACTGATGTAGGGAATGTATTGAAATAACATTGAACGATTTATTAAAAGTTCAGATTTATGTATGTGGTCATTTAAATATTCCCTTGCCAGGCGTGGGGGCGCACAGCTGTACTCCCAACTCGGAAGGCTGAGGCAGGAGGATCCTTGTGAGTTAGAGGCCAGCGTGGGCTACACAGTGAGCTCAAGGCCAGCCTGAACTGCACAGCGAGACCCCGTCTCAAAACAGACAAACAAAAAAATTCCCTCAGTGGATTCGTATCTTCCAGTAAAGTAACTCAGTGCACGGGCAGCACACCCCACGTAGGTAACACGGGAATGGGGTCAGGCGAGGGAAAAGCTAAGCAAATCACTAGACGTCTGCATGACAGAATGTTATGAGGCCATGAAAACTTTTGTCTTTAAATCAAAATCAGTGATACTGGAATAGGCCCAGTAAAATAAAATATATTTTATAGGGAAACTCAGGATATAAAGTGACATGGGATCCCAATCTTGAATTTTTTCATTTTTCTTTTTTGTGGTACTAAAGATGGTTCCCAGGGTCTTAGGCATGTTGGGCAAGTGCTCTACAACTGAACTACACCCACAGACCTTTTATTTTATTTATTTCACTTTCAGACAAGGTCTCACTCAGTTGTCAGATTTATGAGCCTCCTGCCTCAGCCTTCAGATTAGCTGGGATTACGGGGATGTACCCTTCACCCAGCTCCAATCTTGTTTTCAAATATAATTATATGTAAAGTAAAAAGTCTGAAAGAAATACAGTGAGCTAAAATGTTGATAGCAGCTGTCTCTGGGTGATGCAGTTGTAGATGGGTTTTATTTTCTTCTTTGTACTTTTCTATATTTTCCAAATTTCCCATAGTAGCTCTGTTACTTTACAATAAAACATACCTTTCCCAAAAATTTTATTAATAAAAAAGACAAGGAAGAGAAACTTTCAACAACAACAACAACAAAAATAAATTAAAAAAAGAAAGAAAGAAAATGAACGGCTGTCCTACATCTGAGAAGGAGTTGCAGGCACCAAACACAGACTTTCTTATGAAACTTAACAGTCTAGCACTCTTAAAAAACAACTGAAAAGTGAAAACACACTTTGAGTAATAACAAAGATAAACCAGACTGCCCTGTTAGATTCTGGTTAGAAGAGAAAGAGCAGATATAGAAGACTAGTGAGGTTTTTTACGTTATAGTTTGATCTTAAGTCTTTCAGATTCAGTCAAAATTTGTGCTATGTGGGGCTGGGGATTTAGCTCAGCGGCACAGCGCCTGCCTGGCAAGGGCAAGGTCGTGAGTTCGATTCCTGGTACCGGAAGAAAAGACAAAAAAAAAAACTTCTGCTATGTTTCATTCCTGTTATTTCCCCAGCGAAAGCCACCGAAACGTCTCACAGAAAGCTGGCAGTGGCTTTCCCAGCCAGTAACAAAGTTAAAGGCGCCTTACCTTTTTCCTCCTTGGGAGAGATACAGTGACTGCGGGGAACATGCCCCGCTCGGGTCGTCAGCTAACGTAGACAAAATGAAGTTACCTTCCAGGAGCATATCAACAATACTCACAGCCACGGGTCTAAGAAGGCAGTCAGAGGAAAGTGACACTCATTTTCTGATGGACATTAGGGACACATTAGAAAGCGATAATAATTCTGGTGTACAAAGGAACGGTATGAGTACATGTCTTTTCTGTATTGTCTTAAATTAACACAATCCTAAGAGGTAAAAGTATCATAGTTTTATAGAGATTTAACTTGCTTAAACCGTGTATAATTTTCTAATTAGGCAATTTATTCAAATTTATACATGTTTCATTCTGCCGAAGAATGTATCTTTCTCAATCAAGTTACCAATTAAAAAATGCCATGTAATGGCATCTTTTCAAAATTTAGTTTGATAACTGTTGCTAGTAAAGTTAAGGAATTCCTGAGATGTGTAAATTAATTTCACCACAATTTAGAGTTTTATTATCTAAAACAAAAAGAGGGCAACCCACTCAGGTCCCCTTCTGTGTCTCTCTCTCAGACGCTTTCTTACTCTCAATAAATATATCCTGCTCTTAAAAAACAAACAAACAAGAAGAAACTCAGAACAGTTGTCAAGGACCTACTTCCCAGGAAAATCAAAATGAATGGATATAGGAACACGTGTAGCTTCTGAAAATATCAGCATCCCCTGAAGGAAGAAAAGAAAACAATTTAAAGTCTTTATTAAAAACTACTGGCGAAAATTTGAATTTGACACCAATATGTTTACCTTCAGTTCTTTGGAGCAAAATGTTATTTCCGTATCCAACCCAATCTGAAAGAAGTCAAACTCATCTGGGTCAATAAGCATCTCGCTGTACACAGAATCGGTCAAATCTGTTAAATGTTATAGGAGAATGAAAAATAAAGTAACTACCAGAGGTATTTTTAAAATTTTCATGCAAAAATATAAGTAGGAGGTTAAAAATAGCACAAGTTCTCTCAGAGTCCCTCCCTGAGAGCAGGGGTCTAAGTCTATGTCCCCGCCCCTGAGTCTGGGTGGGCTCTGTGACTGAGCTGGCCAATAGCGTAGCAGAAGATGCCCCACTCCGGCCAGTGTACTTCAGTCTGTGAGTTGCCTGGGTTACTGTTCCGGTTACAGTTCCTGTTACTTTTGTTTCTTAGAAACGGCTGGTCACTGGGACGCACACTGTAAGAACCAATCCCTGATTGAGGAGCCATTCTGCCTCTGTACTGCCTGCTTGCTTGTCCCATAGAAGCCCTAGACCACCGGAGATCAGGGCCTGATCCCGATCACAGCCTGTCCACATAATATACATCTGCCTCCAAATCCTGGGTGTTGTTTCGGTGTTTCTGTTTGCCCCTGCAAGGTGATCTCAGCCAGTTTCCGGGCCCAGACTTGAAGAGACTGGCAGTCTCCACTTCCTGTCACCTACAACGCTCCCCCTTGTAACTCCGCATCATGCATAGGAGGTGCAGAGCACACTACAGGCTAACTGCGGGCAGGCACTGCGGGTCACAGCTCAACTGAGCTCCCTGCATCAAGTGTGAACCGTGTGTGGGTGTCATGGTCATCTCTCAGGTGATTCCCGCCCTGCCATTAACTACACCTGCGCAAGGGACCCCATGTGAGAACTGCTAGCTAAGTCGCATCAGCCCCCAGAGGGAACCTAGGACGTGATGAATTACTGTCCTACGCCCCTGTCTGGAGGTAGCTTGTTATAAGCAATTAATAACCAGAGTATCATAAACCCTGGTTTGTTCTAAAGAGAATTACTGTAAATATAGTTTACATGTAACCAGGATATTATATTTTATTAATTATATTCAATTTTGTTTCCAAAAAAAACTTAAAAAATTAACCCCCACCCAAAATTAACAAAAAACAGAGTAAGAGATAAAATAGAATGTATTACACTAAATTGTAAAACCTGGTTTAAAGGTGAATTTTAGGGGTTGGGGATTTAGCTCAGTGGCACAGAGCTTGCCTGGCAAGCGCAAGGTTGTGAGTTCGATTCCCGGTACCAGGGGAAAAAAATAAAGTGAATTTAAAAAATTTTAAATTGAGATATAATTCATTTACCCAACACTCATCATTTTAAGTAACAACTAAGTGGTTTTTACTATATTCACAAGAGGGTGCAACCATCACCAGTAGCTACTAAACATTTTCATCACCTCAGAAGGAAACCCCACACCTTGGGCAGTCAGGTTTGCTCCCCAGCCCCTTCGTCCCACAGCCAGCAGTTACTCATCTGTTTTCTGCACGCCAGATGGAGCTATTCTGGATATTTCCCACGTGTGAAGCCACATAATATGTGTCCTCTTGTTCTCGATTCTTTTCCTCAGCACGGTGCTTCCAGGGCAACCACACTGCAGCATATATCAGGGCTTACTCTTTTTTGTGGCTGAATAATATCCCCCTATTCCCTGTAGAATACAGCATCTTTTCTTTGTCCATTCCTGAGTTCATGACATCTGACTTTTCATTCTGTGGCTGCCATGTAGTGGTGCTATGAATATGGATATGGACTATGAGGTATAAGCCACTTATTAAAGATGGCAGACAAAAAAAAAGACAGTGGGTGTGGTGGCACATGCCTATAATCTCAGCACTCAGGAGGCTGAGGCAGGAGGATCTTTATGAGTTTGAGGCCAGCCTGAACTTCAGAGTGAGACCCTGCCTCAAAAAAGACAAAAATAAATAAATAACTAAATAAAGACAGCAGAGGGACAAGACTGAAAAAGCCTGATGATGTGACGAACATGAAATAATCATACTAACCACTTTTATTTTGTGTTTTTGTGGCATAGTTGAAAATAATCCTTAAAAATACACATTATGATTTCTAATATTCTATGCCTGGCAAGCATGAGGTCCTGAGTTCAATTCCCAGTACCAGAAAAAGAAATCCACTAAGGAGCATGTATTTATTCATAATAATTGAAATACATTACATGTATAAAAATTTCTAATATTCTGTTTTCTCAAACAGGTAAATTTCATATCTATGCCTTCTTTTTGTTTGTTTGTTTGTTTGTTCGAGACAGGGTCTTGCTATGTAGTCCAGGCTGGCCTTGAGCTGACGGCAATCCTCCTGCCTCAGCCTCCCAAGTTCTGGGATTATATGTGCAACCATGCCCAGAGTATCTAATGCCTTCTGTTCAGTAAGAGATTATTGAACCTGGATTTTTTTCAATGATTTATTACTATAGCAAACCCTGACATTTGGAACTTTCCAAGTACATTCCAAGATATCAAAGATACAGATGCTATGCCCTTTATTACACATACATTTATTCATTTATTTTACCAGGCATTTAACCCAGGGCCTTCACACTGAGCTATATGAGCAGCCAACTTTTTATTTGGTTTTTTTTTTTTTTTTCCAGTACCGGGAATCGAACTCACGACCTTGCGCTTGCCAGGAAGGCACTGTGCCACTGAGCTAAATCCCCAGCTCCCCCAGCCCATTTTTTATTTTGAGTACCCCAGAATCTTGCTAACTCAATAACTTGTCCGGGCTGCCTTGGAACTTGCCATCCTCAGGCTCCCATAGTGCTGCAAGTACAGGTCTGCACTACCATGCTCAGCTACACAATCTTTTCTGATTTAAAAAATTAATTATGAAAAAAAATAATAATAAAAAATAAAAATAAAAAATTAATTATGCACCAAAAGTATAAACAACAAAGGAAAAACAGATAAGCTGGGTTTCATCAAAATTTTTAAATCTGTGCTTCAAATAATCTCCCAAGAAAGTAAAAAGAGCCAGGTATGGTTACATGCCTGTAATTGCAGCACTTGGGAGGCTGAGGCAGGGGGATTGCCATGAGTTCTAGGCCAGCCTGGGGTACATAGTGAATTTAAGTCCAGGCTGAACTACATAGCGAGACTCTGTCTCAAAATTTTAAAAACAATTTCTTTTTAAAAAAAGAAAAAATAACAAGAGCTGGGAGCAACGGTACATGCTTGTAATCCCAGCTACTCAGGAGGCTAAGACAAGAGGATTCCACGTTCAGGGTCAGCCTGTGCACTTGGGCAAGATCCTTCTAAAGCAGAGATTTTAACAGGAATGGGGATATAGCTCAGTGGTACAATGCTTGCCTAACATGTGAGGCCCTACCACCAATTCTCAGCACCACAAAAGAGGAAGGAAGGAGGAAAGAAGGGAGTGGGAAGGAAAGAAAACATAACCAATGGAATTGGAGGAACTATTTGCAAATCATATATACACAGAATATTCAAAAGGCAACCCAAGCGAAAAAAGGAAAAGGGACTTGAACAGACATTTCTCCAGAGATACACGAAAGGACCAATAAGCACACGAAAAGATGCTCAGCTTCGGTAGTCCTTAGGAAAATGCAAATGAAACCCACAATGAGAGGCTACCTTGCACCAGTAGGCTGGCCGTAAGCCAAAGGCAGACAATAGCAAGCACTGTGCAGGACGCGGAGAATTGGAACCCGCAAACGCTGCTGGCAGAAAAGGGAAGGAGACACTCAGAGCTGCGTGTGATGCACACATTTATAATCGCAGCTACGCTGGAAGACGAGGCAGGAGGGTCAAAAGTTCAAGGTCAGCCTGAGCAACTTGGTATGACCCTGTCTCAGAAAATGAAAAAGGCTGTGGATGTAGCTCAGGGGTTGAATGCCTAGCACATGCAACCTCCTGGGTTCAGTCCCCACTACTGAAAACAGTGCCACTGTCATTGAAAATAGGTTGGCATGTTTTCAAAATGCTAAACATAGTGTTACTGCAAGACTTAGCAATTACACTCCTAAGTATATGGCCAGCATAAATGAAAACATATGTCCACAAAACACTCATAAATGAATGTGCATAGTAGCATTACTACTAAGACCGCAAAAGTGAAAGAGTCAAAACGCCTATCAAATGGTGAAAGAATAAAATGTGGCATATCCATTCAAAGGGATATTATTCCACAATAAAAAGAAATGAAGTACATACTGATAAATACTACAACATGCAACAATCTTAAAAACCATGCACTGGGCCAGGGATATAGCTCAGGGGCACAGCACCTGCCTGGCAAGCACAAGATCCTGAGTTCAATTCCTGGTACCCAACAAAAAAATAAAAAAAACTCTGCAGTAAGTGAAGGAACGTAGATGTAAAAGGCCCTATGTTGAATGATTCCATATATATGAAGTATCCTAGGAGAGACAAGCCACAGAGATAGAAAGTGGACTAGCAGCCACCTAGGGCTGAGCTGGGAAGAAATGAGAAGTGACTGCTAATGGAAATGGGGTTTCTTCTGGGGGGTGATTAAATATTCTAAAAGACTCTAAACTTAAATATTCTAAAGTGGATGGTGGTTACACACATTTATGTACACTAAAAATGAATCACATACTTTCAATTGTATGGTATGTGAGTAATATCTCAATAAAGTTGTTTTTAAAAACAAAAGGATGAATTTAAAAGAAAAAAGAGCAGGGCATGGTGGCGCACGCCTGTAATCCCAGCACTGGGGAGGCTGAAGCAGGATTGTTGCGAGTTCGAGACCAGCCTGGGCAACAAAGTGAGCTCAAGGCCAGCCTGAACTGCATAGTGAGACCCTGTCTCAAAAAGACAAAATAATAATAATAATAGTAATTTTTTTTGGTCTCTCAAACCCATCCTATTTCCTGCTACCTCACTCCTCCCATATACAATATCTGTACACTATTTTTAAGTACCTTTGTTCAAAAGAGAAATTTGGTCTGACTTTTTCACCTTCCTTTTGAACTCCGTAACAACGTGTAGCCTGCCTTACGTACATTTCACATGATCCAGACTGTACATGTTAGATACCAGAGTTCTTGCCTAAATTGGTCTGAGATGAATACAATTTCTAATAGGAAAGATATAAAAGTACAATTTTGATTCACTTATGTTCTTTTCTTTTTCATTTACATGTTTAATAACTTAAATACCATTCATTTATAGGTTAAAATAACTTTAACATAATCTTATAACACCAGGATTGTGAATGACAATTGTTTTGGAAATCAAACTTTACTTTCAAACCCTTAAACTAAGCAAATTTCTATTTTAAAAGTCTTGTTCTCTGGGGGCCGGGTATATAGCTCAGCAGCATAAGCACCTGCTTGACAAGCACAAGGTCCTGAGTTCGAGTCCCAGGACCAAAAAGAAAATAAAAAAATTCAAGTCTTGTTCTCAAGCTAGTAGTGTAGCTTAGTGCAGAGCACCTGTTTAGTACATACAAGGCCCTGGGTTCAATCTACAGCACAATCAAAAAAAAAAAAAAAAAGGTCTTGTTCTCACATCTGTGTCTGTTTGATCTGCCATTAATCAGTCATCAATATTTCCTTACACCGGTCCCTCTAAGTGCCAAACCCAGCCTTTCTTTGACATCTGCGAAGACAATGAGCTTAAAAGTAACAGATAGAGACAGGCCAGGATCTGGGCGGTCCCCAAGAAATGGTGTAATGGTCTGCCTTCCTTATATTTTGTTCTGAAGTTAAGTTCAACTATATGCATGCCTGCATGCTGATCTAAGTCCACTTAGGAGTGAAGGCGCTGGCTGCAGACTTTGAAAGAAATCATATGAAAACTCATAATGTTGAGCTGGAGAATCTTCATGATGAAATTTTCATAAATGTACATTCTCAGTCTCAGTTTCTGAGGCTGAAGAAGGATCCTCGGATAGCTACCTGTGCTGGCCAGCCTGGTCCCAGACTTGGGCCTGGACCCAAAGTAGATCATTCATATATTTGTGATAGGAGACAGAGCGCTGATCTGCTTTGCAGGTTATCTTCCAGGGATGCTGGATTGGATCACACAGGCCTGCTTCTCCTAATGTCTGTAAAACTGTTTCCCCAAAATGGAATTAGTCAGGAGCTTGCATCTAAGAAACCTTTGGCAGTTAGTGAAGTTAGAGTACAAGACTATTCAGAATCTATTTTAGGTGGCCCGGGCAGAATCTCATGCATAGGAGGGACTACAGCGATTGTTAATTGAGACTGACCTGTATACACTCTGTTGGGAGCCTAAAGGGAAACATGATTAGTTTGGAAAAGACTTTCTGGGTGGATTTCTTGTCCAGTGTCTTGGTTTTAAACTTTGAAGCATAAATAAAGATTTTTTAATTGACTCACTAAAAAAAAAATTTCCTTATACTATGGACAGATTTACATTAAATTTATTGTTTATCCCAATGTATCTGTTCTTCTCTGTTGCTCTTGTAAACAGGCTTCCCACTACTATGTCCTTTGAATATTGTTCAGGTACATGAAAACTATTCGATTTTGTCATGTTTTGTGTTACATCCCGCTACCTCTGGATTACTGTTTCAGTTTTATCATTGACTTGTTAGGGTTTTCTGGCTGTACTAGTGTATCACTTGCAGTTGGGGATGGTGCTACTTTTTCTTTAGTGACTCTGATTGACTTATCCAATTGCATCAATAACTAGTATAATACGAAATAGAAGTGGGGAGAGATGAAGCATCCTTATGCTCTGATTTAGATCTCACACGCCCCCCGAAAGTCTCATGTGTTGGGAAGGTGAGTAGACTGCGGGGACACTATACTCATCAGCAGACTGGCCCACTGAGGAGCTCCTGGCTGAGTGTGCTGTTAGGAGGGGAGGCCTGGCTGGAGGTGGCACTGGGGGAGGTCATCCCCAGCTCCTCCCTTTGCTCTCTGCTTCCTGTCTGGCGCAGGTTGAGCAGCCTTTTCTCCACCAGGTCCCTCTGCCACCCCGTTTCTGTCTTGGAGCCAGTCAATCAGGGTCTGACACCGTAAGCCAAAATAAACCTCCTCTCCTTTAAATTGTGGGTGTTGGGAATTTTGTCCCTGCAGGGACATCATACTTTGTTTTCAGGGCTGGGGATTTAGCTCAGCAGCAAAGCGCCTGCCTGGCAAGCACAAGGTCGTGAGTTCGATTCCCGGTACTGGGAAAAAAAAAAAATCTAAAAAAATACTTTGTTTTCAACCTTGTTGGAAATGACACTAACATGCTCCTGTGAAGTAAGATGTAGGCTTTCTTTGTGTCAGGAAATTGTCCCTCTGTTCCTATATACTTCAGAAGAATAGGTGTTATGCTCTTTCTAAGTCTTTTTCAAAGCAACTATGGAGATAACCATATACATTTTTTGCTTAGAACTGTTAATATAGTATTTTATGTTCACAGACATTGTAGTATTGAGCCAACCTTACATTTTGGAATAAATAACACTTGGTCATGGCTTATGGCTTCCTTAATGAGGTGTTAAATTTTGTTTTGTTTTGGTTTGGTTTGGTTTTTGTCTTTTTGAGACAGGGTCTTGCTATGCAGTTCAGGCTGGCCTTGAACACACTTTGTAGCTCAGACTGGTCTTTTTTTTTTTTTTTTTTTTTTTTTGGTTTTTCTCCAGTACCGGGAACTGAACTCACGACTTTGCGCTTGCCAGGCAGGCGCTTTGCCGCTGAGCTAAATCCCCAGCCCTCAGACTGGTCTTGAACTCACAATGATTCTCCTGCCTCAGCCTCCTGAGTGCTGGGATTATAGGCATGCGCCACCATACCTGGCTTTTTTTAAATTTTTGGTACCAGTAATCGAACTCAGGACCTTATGCTTGCTGGGCAGGCGCTTGTGCCACTGAGCTATATCTCCAACCCTGAGCTATATCCCCAGCCCGAATTTTTGTTTCCTAATATATAATTTTATATTTATAAAGTATGCATTTAAATGAAAATATAATTATACTGTACATATCATTTTAATATATTCAATAATATATCCTGAATATTTTTCTATATCAGTAAGTATACTTTCATAATTATTTATGTGGGGGTAGTATTTCGAGTTTTTCAGTACAAAATGACTCCAATAAATACCCATGATGTATCCCCATAGAGCTAGGCTGGAATGTATCTACATACATACACACACATAACATTTCCTTCACTCAACCAATCTTCTGCTCTTTGATCTGAGGTGTAGAAGACGATAAACCAAACTACTAACGTGCTTATCTCTAGGTACTGGGATTTCAGGTGAACTTTTTTGTTTATGCTTTTAAAAATATTTTTCATTTTCTTGCACAGACATGCATTATATACAGAGTAAGAACAAAAGTTAAGTGCTATATATTTTTCAAATGTCCCAACAATACCTTAAGTACACACTCATCTCAAGCAAGACAGCTCACTTCACGCCCAGTGTGCTAGCACAGAGGAAATTCTATAATAAGATCAAACAGTTGGATCCCCAGGCAACATAACTATAACTACTCATTAGACAGCTACTCACAAGGGACAGTGTTTACTGGTTACTAAATGAACATCTTTATTCAGAAATGACACGATGAAACAAAAAACAGACCCTTTCCCTAGCTGAGCATGTATTTTCCAGATCATGTGCTGCTGAGTGCCGAGAAAGAACATCGCATGAGACTCGAGGGAAGCAAGAAATACACAGCTTTAGAAGCTGGCACCCGGGGGACAACTATCTGTGTTCAGACCCTCAGCCGGCACCTACGGACTGTGTGACACCAGGCAGGTCACACAGTTTCTCTGTGCTTGAGCTTCTTCAGAAGTCAACAACAGTACCTAGACCACAGAGCAGCTATGATCACGTGAATTCACAATGCAAATCATTTAAGCCAGATCTTAGCATACACTCACCACTACAGAAGTCATCTGACTTGATGTAAGCCTTGGTTCTACCGGCTTTTCACCTTAAAATCATGGAGTTCTTTGCTTTACATCGTCTCTTTACTGCTAACTCCCACCACCAAAGACAAATTAGGCAACGGCAAAAAGTTTTAAACAGCTTGTCGTACCAAAAAGAACAAGTCTGTTTTGTTTTGTGGTGCCGGGGATCAAACCAAAGATCTATGCACTGAGCTATCCCCAGCTCTTTAAAAAAGTTTTTTGAGACAGGCTCTTGCTAAATTGCTAAACTGGCTGGGTGCAGTGGGCAGGACCCTGTCTCAAAAAAAAAAAAAAAAAAGTTGCTAAAATGCCCAGGCTGGGCTCAAACTTACATCTTCGAGCACCAGCCTCCCAGAGTTCTGAGATTACAGGCGCGGGCCACCAAACTGGGCTCCTACTAAGTTTTTCTGACACTAAAACTCTTCCAAGTTGGGCACGGTGATGGGCACCTGTAGTCTGAGTGGGGAGACCGGTGGAACCCGTGAGTATGAGATCAACCTAGGCGAATAGCAAGACTCCATCTCAAAAAAAAATCAAAACTCTATTCCATCCACATAACTTTTTTTTGTCCTGGGAATCAAACTCAGGATTTTGCACTTGCCAGGAAGGCGCTTGTGCCGCTGTTATATCCTCTGGCCCCATCCACACAACTCTTGAGAGAGCTGACTTAAGGAGTATTCACATTTTTACCCTATGTGTTCCCATCTGGAATATTTTACATTTCTAATTCAAAGTTGCTTTTTCTTCCTGCGTAGTCAAAGATCATCTCAATTAAATTGCTGGCCTCTTAGTTTTTCTTTATGTAAAGCACAAAGGATGGTAAGTGAGAAATAGATCTTAGCAACTAAAATGAAAATATACCGTCCTCAGTAAAAATTCTCTTACCTTTAACCTGAGTTTCAAAGTCAAATATTTTAATTACTAGTGATGTTGAATTTCTAGGCTCTCTTACTGGGTAATACAATAATAAAAAGCTTATCACCTTTCCATACACTACTGCTTTTAAGGCAGAAATAAATAGTACATTGCTAACGCGCTGTATAACTACTAATGAGGCATCTAGGAAGCACACACCCTTAACTCCCACAGCAGGGACTGTTCTTACCCCATGACTCCCCACGAGAGCTCTTCAAGCACAAATTCAGGGGAGAAACAGCAAGAGTAACTTCCTCCTGATTCGACGAAAAAAGAACCATTGCCTCAGCCAGTAATCTACAAAATGTAATGAAAAGCCTTACATCACTTGAAAGACAAACAGAAAGACATAATCTTCTCAAGAGGGACTCAAATCTTTAATCTGGATACAAACAGGCCAGTTGGCCTGAGTTTAGAAAAATTTTACCTAAAAGCCCTATCTTCTTTCTTATACACAAACTGCTATATTTATGGTATATCCTTAAATTGTAATTTCATTTGAAGGCCAAGAGAACAGCAAAATACAACCTTAGTAAAACATGTGAAAGCTGCAGTCAAAACATCAGAATCAAATATCCTTATATCTATGTTTTTACATGTCCACTGTATTTTTAAATTTTTTTTTTTTTTTTGGTCTTTTTGAGACAGGGTCTCAATATGCAGTTGAGGCTGACTTTGAGCTCACTTTGTAGCCCCAGGCTGGCCTTGGACTCGCAGCAATTCTCCTGCCTCAGCCTCCCAAGTGCTGGGATTACAGGCGTGCGCCACCACACACGGCTAAAATTTTTTTTTAAAAATTGGCCCAAGATGATACTGTAAAGGAAGACAGTAGAAAATGGAGCTGTTTAAATACAGCTGAGATGCACTATGCCAGAGATTCACTTGAAGGGTAGTCTGCTGCCTGTATTTCCTCTCCTTTTGTTACTTTCCTGGACTACATATTACCTATTACTTTTAACGTTCCCTTGCCATCTCACATGCCATTTATTCCAGGCTTCGTCTTTTTTTCTTTCAGTTTTTGAGACGGGGTCTATGTTGTCCAGCCTGGCCCTGAACGCACGGTGAACCTCCTGCCTCAACCTCCCTCCCCTCGGTGCTGGTGTTGTAGGTGTGTGCCACCACCTCTGGCAGGGCTTCCTTTAAAACAACTTTATCGAGGTGTAGCTCACATACCACACAGACTTGAAGTTGTTTGATTTGCAATTCCCTAATGACCAGTGATGCTGAGCAGTATCCATGTGCTCGCTGGCCATCTGTGTATCTTCTTTGGGGAAATGTCTATTAAAGTCCTTTGCCTGTTTTTAGTTATTTGTCCTTTTTTAAAGTTGCACTGTAAGTACTGCCATCATTTGAAATTGACATGTTGCTAGATAAAAATGAAATTTTAGAATTAACGCAATCTTGGTGCTAACATGATGCTAGACATTAGCTTAGCAATGTTTATTAATGTCAAAATGTCATGAACACCTAGCAAATTCAGAAGGAAACTTTTCTACTGCTAAGGGGAAGGTGTCAGACAAGAGGCCAAATAATTTATTTTTTCCATGATGCTGGAGATTGAACCCAGGGTCTCTTACATGCTAGGCAAATGCTGTATCATAGAGCTTACCCTCAACCTCTAGGATGCCAAATAACTTGCTACTCTGCCCCCCCAAAATGACAGCTGGATGAGGTAGCACACTTCTATAATCCCTGCACTTGGGAGGCTGAGGCAGGAGGATCATTGCGAGTTTGAGGCCAGCCAGACTACAAAGTGAGCTCAAGGTCAGCCTGAACTGCATAGCGAGACCCTGTCTCAAAAAACACACACACAAAAGATAATACGAATGTGCAATTCAAAAAATAAGACAAATACAAATTGTTACTATATCCTCAAACTTACTAGTAAGAAAGAAAATACAACAGTACAGAATATCACATAACATTATTTTTTCCTATTAGATTGGCAAAATTTTTAAGGATTGATTATACCCTCTACTTAGAAGAATTCGCCTACACTTTTGGTGGGAATGTAAACTCATACGAATTTTACACGGCAATTTAGTAGTCAGTATCTTCGTGTGGCCCAGCAATTCTATTTCTAGGACTCTGAGTCACACAGTCTATAACACGGCCCTCAGTGATCCTCACCTCCTGGTATTCTCCTTAAGGGTGGGCTGGATGAGAGGTTCACTTCTAAAAAGGACAGAAGTGGCAGAGGTAATGAGATATCCATTCTGAGATTAGAATATCAAGACTATGGCTTTGCCAGGTATAAAGACATACGCTTGTAATCCCAGCTATCAGGAGGCTGAGGCAGGAAGACTGCAAGTTCAAGGCCAGCCTAGGAAATTTAATTCAATCTCAAAATAAAATAAAGAGGTCTAGGGACGTAGTACAACACTGGATTGCTTACTTAAAGGGCATGAGGCCCTAAGTTTAGTCCCCAATACCAACAAAAACAAACAAACAAAAAAGAGAGATGGAGAGAAAGAAAGAGACAGGGACAGAGAGAGACAGAGAGAAAAGATGTGGCTTCCCTCAGCTACCCTTTGTGAGGATTCACAGGCAGCCAAGAGACAGGCACACATGTATGGACCTACATGTGGGACCATGTATGGACCCACACATGTAGGTCCTACTAAAAACCACATGTGTGAGCTTAGAAATGGATGTTGCACTCCCAACAGCCACATCAGTGAGCTAGGAAGTGAACCTCCACATTTTTGTTTTTGCTTTTGTTTTTTGAGACAGGGTCTCGCTATGCAGTTCGGGCTGGCCTTGAGCTCACTTTGTAGCCCAGGCTGGTCTCAAACTCACAAGGATCCTGCTGCCTCAGCCTCCTGAGTGCTGGGATTACAGGCATGTGCCACCACGCCTGGTTTTATTTGATTTCTTGATGATGCCAATTCTTTCTGGGGTAGGATGGAATCTGTGTTGTTCTAATTTGCATTTTCCTAATGGCCAGCAATGTTGAACATTTCTTCATGTACTTATTGTACTTCTGTGAAGTGCCTATTCTTTTGCTTGCCCATTTTTTGATTGATGTGGGTCTAATTTTTTGAGTTATTTATATATTCTAGATATGAGAGCTCCAAGGACAAGCTGTCAAAATTTTTCCCCATTCTGTATGTTGTCTTTTCACTGTGTTAGTTTTTTGTTTTGTTTTGTTTTGCTGTGCAGAAGCTTTTAAATTTAATATACTCCTTGTATAACTGAGATTCTGACTTTTTTCATTAAAAAACATAAAAATATAATTTGGCTTATAAAGTAATGCTCATTAATGTTTAGTGATACAGCTAAACTAAAAATTGGGTACACTTTCACTGACAAATATGCCTCACTCATTATCTAAAGAAAAAATTTAATAATTAGGAATAAAGTTAGCTTGCTAAAGGTTAAATGTTAAAAACGTTAAAAATAGTCAAGCACAGTGGAGCACACCTATAACCCCAGTTATTCAGGAGGATGAGGCAGGAGGATCACAAATTCAAGGCCAGCCTGGAAAGTCAGTGAGCTGTTAAAATTCCCTCTGGTTGTGTGTTTTAAGATTCAGATAGGTACCATACAAATGCAAAGTGCTATAAGATCATATATTCTTCTCTCTTGATAGAGTTTGGTGTAGAAAGTCACCAATGGAGTACTTTTAGAATTTTTTGTTTTTGTTTTTATGAGACAGGGTCTTACCATGTAGTGAGTTCACTACTTGATACTCACTTGATACTACTTGAACTCACTACATAGCCCAGGCTGGCCTTGAACTTGCAGTGATCCTCCTGCCTCAGCCTCCCCAGTGCTAGGAGTAGAGGCATGTGCCACAATGCCCGGCTTAGAACTTTCTTGATTAAAAAAAAAAGGGTTTTTTTTTTTTTTTTCACTAAATTTTTATTGCTCCCATTAAGGAGGTACTATCTTTTTTTTGTTTTTTAGTCCTTTTTGAGACAGGGTCTCGCTATGCAGTTCAGGCTGGCCTTGAGCTCACTTTGTAGCCCAGGCTGGTCTTGAACTTGCAAGATCCTCCTGCTTCAGCCTCCCAAGTGCTGGGATTACAGGTGTGTGCCACCACACCTGGCTAGGCAGGTACTATCTACTATTATCTTTTTCAAGGTTTCCCTCTTGAACTTGTAAGATGATTTCTCTAAGTCAAGTTTTGGTTTTATAAAGAAAAAAACCTGTAACTGAAAAGCTTTTCAGCACTAAGTTTTCCCGAGACCCTTCCATATCCAGAAAATGAAAAATACACAACAGAGTATTCATTACCTTGGCTGAATCATTAGAGTATTGCAACACATATTCTTTGTAAAATTAACTTGCACAGGCCGACTTTCTTGGAAACATAGATTATGAGTTTTTTTAATACCTTAAAAAGAATAAAAATATCAAAACTGAAGTTATTAATTTTAAGTGAAAAATGTGCAGATTTTAAAAGCGTTTAAATTTCACAGCCAAGTTAAAATAATAAACACAGTAACATTTACTCTCTGGAAGGTTCATGTAGTATGGAGCCGCACTATTCCTCAGTGAAATGTTAGCGCTCCCTAGTGGACACCAAGCAACATGTCACTCTGTGACCAACAGGCAGAGGAGCGCCAGAATTCCTTTGAAAGACAGCGGTTTCTCAAACTCTTCATAAAACAGTGACCGTGCACCCCGCAGCACACCGCTAGAATTCTGCTTTAGAGCCTCCTATGCAGGGCTGATCTTCCTAGATAGGACTTTTGGCAGTTATACCCGCATCTGTTCTGTTAATGCTTCCCCCTTTGCTCACACCGTTCCTTCCTCTTAGAAAGTCCTAGTGACGCCACTGTTCAGCCTCTCCCCTCCCCTCCCCTCCCCGCTTTGGCTCACTTGCCCAAGTACCACTCACTGTACCATTTTTCAAGGAATCTGGCCCAATATACTTCGTTGTAGTTTTTGTTGTTCTCCGGGTTCAACAATACTCTTCCTTGATAGTGTGCAAATGGCATAAAATTTTTTACATCTTTTTTTTTCCCTTGGTCACTTCCTTTGGTTCCCTTGGTTAACTTTACTACTACTACACAAGGTACTTATCACTTTAAAGAGATAAAGTGTCTTCACCAGAATTTACTTCTTTCCCATAATCCCAGATGCTCTGAAGGCTGAGGCAGGAGGATCACAAGTTTGAAACAGCTTGAAAAAGTTACCAAGAACCCATCTTAAAATAAAATAAAAAGGCTCAGGGGTATAACTCAGTGGTACAGCACTTGCCTAGTGTGTGTGAGGCCCTGGGTTCAGCCCTGAGTACTGCAAAAAGAAAGATGAAAAGAAAGGAAGGTGAGAAGGAAGAGAGTGAGGGAAGGAGAGAGGAAAGGGAAAGAAAGAAGAAAAGTCTTATTTTAAAACATTAAATAAGATGGGCATGATGGCATAAGCCTGTAATCCCAGCACTCGGGAGGCTGAGGCAGGAGGATCACCGTGAGTTCGAGGCCAGCCTGAGCTACAAAGTGAGTTCAAGGCCAGCCTGAACTGCATAGTGAGACCCTGCCTCAAAAAGATAAAATAAATAAGCCAAGTCCAGGTATGGTGGTGCACACCTATAGTCCCAGCTACTCAGGAGAATCTTCTGAGACTAGGAGTTTGGGGCCACCCTGGGTAACATGAAAAAGGCTCCATCTTGCAGGAAAAAATAAATATGAGCTGAACTGAAAAGACTTTGTAATGTAGAAGAGTTAAATTCCGGTACAAGCTCCTTACAGACACAGACTCACAGAACAGTAACAAGAGCCTGGTGCCCTGCAGCCGGTCAGGCCAGGGGGCACGCTGAAGACCATGCTGGCCACAGGATACCCACTGCCGTGGTGGAATTCCGCTTGCCACCCTGGGACTTGGCTCAGTGGGTCGAGACCCCTCAGAGCCTGAAGCAGTACATCTCAGGAACAACCGTTACTATAGGAATATTACATTCCTGCGATTTGGAATTTCAGAGGCCATCACCACCCTTCTGTACATTTAGGGTGCTGCCAGCTTCTCTTTCTGTCAGCTCTGAGGAGGTGGGGAAGGCTCTGACTTCTGGAATCACTCCAATTGGAGGGAAATTTGGGATGGCTGCCTATGGTTTTTTGGCTGTGTGATTCCTCAGAGACAAGACAGGAATTTTTTTTGCACCAGGAATCGAACTCAGGACCTTGCACTTGCCAGGCAGGCACTGTGCCACTGAGCTATATCCCTGGCCACAAGGACAGGAATTTGAAGGATTTTTTTTTTTTTCTAAGGATTTGTCCTTTGTGGGTTTGTGTGACCAAATATGACCAAATGCTGAAATGCATTCAGTATGGCAAGTACTTTTTTTTTTTTTTTTTTTTTTTTTTGGTACTGGGAATCAAACTCATTGAAGGAATTTTAAAACTCTTGTAAGTCATTAGCACATGCGCTTTTTGACAAAAATTTGAGACCTTGGGTCTAACGCTTTTCATTCACCTTATGAATATACATGCATGAATCAGTTGTAGGCTGGACATGGGGCACATGCCTATAACCCTAGCATTCAGAAGGCTGAGGCAGGAGCATCACTGCAAGTTCCAGGGTAGCCTGGGCTACAAAGTGAGTTCTAGGGCAAACTCAAAAAAAAAATAAAATAAAATAAAAAATAAAAAGGCAAGCTCAATTGCATAGTGAAACCCTGTTTCAAAAAAGACAAAAAAAAAAAAAAGAAAAAAAAGAAAAAGATTCAAGAGTTTTTTTTTTTATCTTAATGAAGTGCACCCTCCTTCACAACCCCTCTTTGCTGGGTGTCTGTCTCCCTAAGCTCAGATAGAACTTACCATTTATCAGTAGGTTGTCTATATGTAACATTCTCCAGGGACAATTCCCTGGCTCACTTTTCTTTCAGTGCTAGAGATTGAACACCTGGTCTCTGGACTGAACTACAAACCCAGCCCTTTTTATTTTTTTATTTTTTTGTTTGCTTTCCGGTACCGGGAATCGAACTCATGACTTTGCACTTGCCAGGCAGGTGCTGTGCCGCTGAGCTAAATCCCCAGCCCTGTGCCCTTTTTATTTTTTATTTTGAAAGAGACTTACTAAGTTGCCCAGGTTAGGCTTGAATTTGCAATCCCCCTGTCTCAGCCTTCCAAGTAGCTGGAATTACAAGTGTGTGCCACCATGCCCGTTACTGATTTATTCTTAGAAACTCTGAGGCCAGTGCAAAAGGAACCGTGGAGGTTTAGTGGCACTAGCAATATATGGGTAAAATATTTCGGATGAATCTTGCTCTTAATTACATAAATGACAGAAATCATTCTTTTTTCTATGAACAGGTATTAAACAATCTAAGAAATCACAGTTCCAGATGCTGATTATGTGAGATCCAGAGGCTAGTTCTTCTTGGAGGCTCATGTTTTGGCAATGGTTCTCTTTCTTTTTTTTCTCTGAGACACGTAGGGAAGGAGGGAGGATAAGAAAGGAAACACTCTGTAGCCCAGGCTGGCCTCGAACTCATGGCAGTTCTCCTGCCTCAGACTCCCAAGGGCTCGGATTACAGGCGTGCGCCACCATGCCTGGCTTGGCAAAAGATTTCTACCAATGAAGACAGCCAAATTTACTTCACTACCCTTAATGTCTTCCCAAATTCCAAATCTTTATTTCTAGCAGCTAACTGGTTATCTCTGCTCAGGTGACGTTTCTCAACTAAACTTGAACAATATTACTCCACCAGATTAACGTAAAGTCACAGGCATGATCTGCTGTAAACACACACAGTTTTGGAAAGCATGACTACCTCACAGTTACCGTAGCCGCCTCTACGCCCGACCTCCTCCTCCTTCCTGAGCCGTCCTTTCCCCAGTGTGTAGCAGCCATGACGTGCGGGTGGGACGGACTACTTCCAGCCCCAGGCCTGGAGCCTCTCTGGCACAAACCAATTGGTACACTCTTACCACTCCCCGCTGCTGCAGAATGGGGCCCACATACAGCGACAGAACAAGGCAGTTAGAGAACAGAATTCCCCTTGGCACCAGGCTCAGTTCAGGTGGGTCTTATCAGAGGGAAGCCCAGCACTGTGTTCAGTGGACACTGAGGTAGAAAGAAGTGCCTAGCCCCTACTGCTGCTGGAAATCACCTTTGAAGTTTGTAAGTGAAGCTGCCTTCAGGATAAAACACGTGGAGGAAAGTACAGCTAAGAAAGGTTTTAAAAATGAGAAGCCACACAGCCAGGCATAGTGGCCCACGCCTATAATCCCAGCACTCAGGAGGCTGAGGCAGGAGGATCATTGCAAATTCGAGACCAGCCTGGGCTACAAAGTGCGCTCAAGGCCAGCCTGGACTGCATAGCGAGACCCTGTCTCAAAAAGACAAAGAAAAAAAAACAAAAAAAAGAGAAGCAGCCTTCTTGAATCATGCCTATGACCTAACTTCAAGCTTTGTGTTTACGTGAGCCAATATTCCTCTTTATTGTTGAAGCCAGTTTGAATCCTTTTCTGGCTTTAAATTTTTTTTTTTTTTTCTTCTACTACTTGTAACCTAAAGCATCCAAATTCATACATCCTACAAAAACTACCACAAATTAACCGATCATAAATATTTACTTGACATCAATCAAGCCAGTGGATAGTTCAGAAACTAAATACTTGGTGACTAAATATCCAGCTGGAGGCAAGGGAGGAAAAAACTGTAGCATCAGCAGTGACCTGTGAGCGCACCCTGTGTGTCAGGCACCGCATCTATGGGACCTGAAGGCTTCTGTGCTGACAGTCATGGTCTTCGCATGACTCTCCTATTATATGAAATAACATTTAAGGGATGGGAAAAATAATGCTAAGTCATTGGTTATTTGTAAGAAAATGTAAGGATTACAATGTACACAGAAATAAAAATATATTATTAAGATAAATGTAAGATAAAATTAAGAAATATAAGATAAATTATAATAAGTTAACCTTCTATAAGGCCATTTAACTACAAGAAAGATTTGGATCAATATCACAAGTATTGAAGATTGAATCTAGGGCCAGGCATGGTGGCTCACGCCTGTAATCCCAGCACTCGGGAGGCTGAGGCAGGAGGATCACTGAGAGTTCGAGGCCAGCCTAGGCTACAAAGTGAGCTCCAGGCCAGCCTGAACTGCACAGCGAGACCCTGTCTCAAAAAGACAAAAAAAAAAAAAGAAGAAGAAGAAGATTGAATCTAGGATCTCTACATTGAGCTATAGTCACAGTGCTTTTTTATTTTTTGACACAGTCTTGCTAAATGCCTAAACTGGGTTCAAATTTGTGGCTCTCCTGCCTCAGCCTCCTAGAGTACTGGAATTACAGGTGTGTATCATTACACCTAGTAAGATTTTGGAAAGCATAAAATTCTACTGTTAACTTCAAAGAAAAGAGCTGCAATCATAGGATGTATAAGGAGGGCCCATACTTACAGAATGTGCAGGCAATCTTCTAAATACAGGAATAACTCACTGAATCCTTAGAAAATCCCGAGGAGACAGATACTAACACTATGCTTGTTTCCATATTAGGAAAGGGCAGCATAGATATAATGTGCCCAGCATCTCACTAAGGAGGAGCAAAGAACTGGATTTCACCTTAAACTCAGTGGCCTCTAGAGCCCATGCTCTGAATCACACATGTGTGTTTAAGAGTGTAAAGGGCCTATGAGCATACCACTTTAGCATCTAGTTTGAAATGCTGGGAGTCAAGAAATCTGTCTGAGCCAGGCGTAGTGGTGTACATCTGTAATCCCAGCAGTTGGGAGGCTGAGGCAGGAGAATCCTTGCGAGTTCGAGGCCAGCCTGGGCTACAAAGTGAGCTCAAGGCCAGCCTGAACGGCACAGTGAGACCTTGTCTCAAAAAGAAAAGAAAAAGAAAGAAAGAAAGAAAGAAAGAAAGAAAGAAAGAAAGAAAGAAAGAAAGAAAGAAAGAAAGAAAGAAAAAAGAAAAAGAAAAAGAAAAAAAGGAAAGAAAAAGAAATCTGTCTGACAGCTTGGGGTAGCAGAGAGAATGAATGTAGTCTTTGGCACTCTCTCTTCTGGGCCCGGATTCAAATCCAGGCTGTGTCTTGCCAGTTCTATAACTGGGGGTCATCATCATGCTTCTCTCAGTCCCAGATTTGATAAGATCTGCCTTCTAGACTACTTTCAACACCAGCGGACATTTTTATTTTCTGTTCTTATCTATGGACATTTGTGGTAAAACCAACACACACAAAGCACTCCTACAAAATATTATCAAGCAACTAGTTCATTTTAGAACAGTCAACTTAAACTGGGCATAATCCCAACACTCTGGAGGCTGAGGCAGGAGGATCCTTGCGAGTTCAAGGCCAGCCTGGGCTACAAAGTGAGCGCACGGCCAACCTGAACCGCATAAGGAGACCCTATCTCAAAAAGACTAAAAACAGAAGACAATTAAATAAATAAATAAAAATCAAATCCTTCTACAGAGACAGGTAAGATAATACAACTACCTTACCAAATAACCTACACAAATCCTAAACAATAATGCTATGCAAAGTATTGATAGGGGGTTTGAATATTTCAAACGTGAAAAATATTTAGAAGAAAAAACAATATTTTAAGCCACTTGAATTATACCTACCATGTCTGCAGAAGAACTGAATAACTACTTTGCACTTGTCAGATCCGGTGAATATTTTGCACATCTCTACATTTCTTTCAAAGGAATTCAGACCTCTAAAGATGGGTAGAATTGACTGCAACACAATTATATTATACATATGAAGAACACACGATATAGTTGTTTATTTTTTTTTAAACTAACAAGTGAGAAGTACATGTATTCATCAGTAAACATACTTGTCCTGCATGCCATTTAAATTGGGAAGTATGAAATATGTTATATCTCATATAACAAACATCTCTCCCATATTACAGAGAACCCATGTCACTTATATTTACCTTCATTCCCAATTTGCAATTTAAACACACCGACTTGCCATTGTCATTTATTTTCTTCGAGGTTGACCATTGATAATGTTCAAAAAACATAGAAGAGAACAGGACATATCCATATGCCGATGAAGAAGAATTTATAGATCTTAGAGCAAGCTTGAAAAATAAGATAGTTATTTAGGCCAGAGTCAACTTTCTTTAAGTGACAGTTTAATGTTTTAAATTTCAATATGTTTAATGTCATAGTTAAATATGTTCAAATAAGACCATGGGATGTTAACCACAGACTACACTATACAAAGTATATGAAATTTGCACATAGCTATACATGCATATGGGTACATATCTACATTGCATACATATGTTTTAAACCTAAAACCTTGCATTTTGAAATTATAAGTGCCTATAAGGATCTTAACTTTAACGCAGGAAATGCCACAAAGAAGCTACAGGAAGTTGGCTGTCTCACACCCTTGTAATGGAGAAAAAACATTACTAAGATGAAACCAACTAAATTCTATTTGGGAACATAAGCCGAAAATTGTCTTTTTTTTTTTTTTTTTTTTTTTAAGTCTTTTGAATTTTAAGAAAAGCAGGAAATTCATTTTCATGTGGACTTTCTCAAGGTGGTTTGTTTTGTTTTGTTTTATCTTGTCTTTTTGGATTTTTTTAAGTTTTTGTTTTAGGTTTTTTTTTTCCAGTACCGGGAACCGAACTCACGACCTTGCGCTTGCCAGGCAGGCGCTGTGCCGCTGAGCTAAATCCCCAGCCCCTATCTTGTCTTTTTGAGACAGGGTTTCACTTTGCAGTTCAGGTTGGCCTTAAACTCACTTTGTAGCCCAGGCTAATCTCGAACTCTCAGAGATTCTCCTGCCTCAGCTTCCCAAGTGCTGGGATTACAGGTATGCTCCACCACGCCTGGCTCAATTTTTAAAGATTAGAAATTATCTCAGTTTTGGGTGGAGAGGGTATTGGAGAATGAATCAAGGCCTTGTGATTGCTAAGTGGTAACACAATTTACCACTGAGCTATACCTCTAGTTCCTAAAAAAAAGTCCCCAAATATTTTTCTTGACTACCAATTTCTGATTTCTGGCTTACGCCAATTTATCTGCATGATTTTTTTTTTTTTTTTTTTCTTTTTTGGTCTTTTTGAGACGGGGTCTAGCTATGTAGTTCAGGCTGGCCTTGAGCTCACTTTGTAGACCAGGCTGGTCTCAAACTCGCAATGATCCTCCTGCCTCAGCCTCTCAAGTGCTGAGATTATAGGCATGTGCCACCACACCTGGTGTCTGCATGATTTTCAAATTCATTATGCTCTAAGTACATTCTGATATGTAAAATAAAGGTGAACAATGAAAGGGGTAACTGTAATTTCTGAATATCCTGGTTAATATTCAATCAGGAATAAGATCTTTGAACACCTTCTCTTGCCTGAATACACAGCCTATTACTTAACGTTCTTACTTACACCTTTTTCTGATGGGTCTAGCCACAGCTCTTCACTCACTCGTGACAGAGCTTGGATCGCTTTCCCAAATACTGCAGAGAAAAAGAAAGATGCTGTTTACATTCTTTCTAGCAATAAAAACAAACCACAGAACTACTTCAGCAAGTGGAGGACTCAATATAAATTCAAAAAGAACAGTGGGCTATACGGAACAATTTGTTCCTGCAGGTCAAATTCTTCAGTTGCTTCTTTAGTTGAAGAATCTATTCCTGCTCTGCAGGTCAAATTCCCGGATAAGGAAATAGGGGCTTTTGGTATTGTAGATACTACTTATCAACCTGCTACTGGTATTTGGAAATTGTTGGCAAACATTCTTCCTAAACTTTCTGGCCTATTTTGCAACACACAGTTCAGTATGTTTCTACCATTCCCTCTGATGCATGGGTTTTGTATACTATAATAATATTCAACCTCTCTTTTGGCTTCCAATATGTTTAATATAATGATCTCAAGTTCCGTTTTGTGTCAAGATTTCTTAGAGCAAATGTAAAGCAAAATGAAGATATGAGTTCATCTCAATATGTTAAACTTATCAAATTTATTCAGTGCACTAGCCAGGCATGGTGGCGCACGCCTGTAATCCCAGCACTGGGGATGCTGAGGCAGGAGGATCCTTGAGAGTTCAAGCCCAGCTTGGGCCACAAAGTGAGCTCAAGGGCAGCTTGAACTGCATGCACTGCAAGACCCTGTCTCAAAAAGAGAAAAAAAAAAAAAAAATTCAGCGCAACAGATCTGGAAATAATGCTTTCTAATCCCTTTTCCTGCATATATCAGGATAATTTCTGGTATTAAATAATATGCTGTTTGGCTTTTGGGTTTAGTACATTTTAGCAGAAATATTAAGGGACAGATTCTTCAATTGAATATATGTAAGAGAGAAATAATTACGCTGATCTGTACTGCACTTTACAGACTAATGCTACACTACTTTAAGAAATACAGTATAGGGTTGAGGCTCAGTGTTAAGAACACCTTCCTAGCGTATGCAAGGCCTCGGGTTCAAACAAAAATACAATGTAGTATCCTTAGCAACATATTAGATGCACAGCAAGGGCTCGGTAAGTTTAGAGAATCAGCGTATATAATAAAAGCAACAAAACCCTTCTATTTGTCTGCAGTTATGTGGAACTATCCTGAAAGGCCAATTTCCATAATAATGTGCTCTAAAACTTGGTTCAAATAAATGTAACTGCCAAAAAAAAAATATGGGAAATGCATGGAAAGGATATTTTAAATGTTTTAATAAGTTAGATGGAAATGTCAAAACAAGTTATGAGAGAAAAACTAAGGGTATTCAAAATGCATCTTTGATGTTTGAAAGTATCTTTGAAGATGCCAGATGTCAGCAAGGAAGCTGCCAGACCTTCCTATTAAACACAGACAGGCTAAGGGCTAGATGAAATACTGTCTGACCTAGGAGGACACCAATGATGTTCTTATGAATTGTGACTAAGTAAAATCATGACAAATAGTATTGGATACTGTGCTGGATGGGCATTTCAATCCATCGAGAAGTATAAAATTTGAGAAGAAATTACAGAACGTAAAATCAGATTACAATGCTTAAAAATCACAAGTATGTATTCTGAGGAAGATGGGATGACCTAAATGAATATTTTTTAAAATTAGAGTCATTTCCCCAGTTTATGTTCAGTTTTTGCTGGACTAATGCAGACTTTCCATTCATCCAATGAACATTTACGAAGTACCGACTACGTTCAAGTATAACCAAATGCAACAGGGTTACAGCAAAGAACAGACAGGTTCAGCTCCTGCCCTCAGAGCATTTACAGTCTAGGAGGGAAACAGACTTAATCACACAAATAATTGCTTATTGCAAACAAGGTACACACTGCAGAAGAGAACGTCCTAGTACTCGAGAACATGCAACCACAGAGAGCTCGAGTCCCTTTCCTGCTCGTTAATTCTGTCCCAATTTGTCCTCAACACAGGGGAAGCCAGCTACAAAATACATTCAGTGATCGTTTTCAGCTCATAATCTGTAGGAAACTTCTGCTTTTCTAAATATTTTCCAGATTAACCTCCAGGGTTTGTTTTGTTTTGTTTTTGGTTTTTTGCCGGTACCAGGAATTGAACTCATGACGTCGCGCTTGCCAGGCAGGCGCTGTGCCACTAAGCTAAATCCCCAGCCCTGGTTTTTTTGTTTTTGGGGTTTTTTGAGATAAGGTCTCCCTATGCAGTTCAGGCCGGCCTTGAGCTCACTTGGTAGCCCAGGTTGCCCTCAAGCTTGCAAAGATCCTCCTGCCTCAGCCTCCCAAGTGCCGGGATTACAGGTGTGCACCACCACGCCAGGTCCCACCACCATGCCAGGCCCAACCTCAAGTTTTAGAGTACTATTTACAATAAAAATAGTGTCGCTTACTCCTGTTATTACATTTATTACATTCACCTTTACATTCATTCCTATTTGATGCCTACAACAAACCTTATTAATTAAGGTGCTATTACTAGTCCCATTTTACAGATGAGGAAACTGACCTCCAAAGTGATTTAGTGGCTAATCTGAAGGTCATATATCTAAGAATGGTAGAATATGGCATTAAAAATACAGTTTATGACTTTTACGGGGCATGTAAATACTTTTACTGTCCACCCATTTTGTTCTCCCAGTTCCTCCCCACAAGTCCTGGCCACCGCAAGTTTGATGTCTATGGTACAACTCATCGCATGGACACCACCCATACTCAATGCTATGCTTAAATAAAAGGAACTGCCAAGTTCA